TATATATATAAAAATAAAGTTGGCAATTAACATGACAATAATCATTCTTATTGAACATGGAAGAGAAAAATGAGTAACATTGAAGATGATGAATATATGACATTTATAGATACAATTGGAGAAGAAGATTCTCTTGAAGATTCATTTAGTGATGGAACATGATTTGATTTAATATGTTATTTCTTGTTTGTACTTTGGGAGTTTTGATAGACTTATATTTTGTGGTTCTATACTTTGAATTATACTATGCAATGCATATATTGCATATATTTTCTTATTTTTCACTAATTTCACTTGTCATTTATATGTTTTTATTGTATGTAGACTCTTACTGTTATTTACGTGCTAAAACCCTTAAATTCTTATTTACTCAATTTTTCGTCCATGAGGCTTTCGCCTCACACCGTCTCGAGGCTTACGCCTCGTCTCACGGACGAAAAATGTCTCGAGGCTTAATTACGCAATTCTAAACTATGGTGCTTAGAATTAATTATTACACCTATAAAACAAGTTGTCCAAATAAAAAAGTTCGATGTTCTGAATATTAACACTCCGTCTCACCCACAAGCTAAGAGCTCAATTAGACGGCAATCCCTAAGGTGGTCACCACTCAATCATTTTGTTCAATCTGAAAAAGGGGATTAGTTTTCTTCTCGGTAGAGGGAATAACCATAATGCTTAGGACATTAAATGTTTGGCATATGCATGCCCTTATCTAAAAGGTTAAAAGTAAGCAACAAGTAGATGTTTACAATGATAACAGTGAAACAATACATGCATTCATTAGTGGGTGTGTCACAACAGAGGTTCACCACAAGTAAAATAACACATATTTTTTAGCTCAATTTAGACTTGTTTTATTGGTTTCACTTGGCCTCTATAAAGTTCCATAGTATAATGACAGAGCATTCGTGATGAGGACAATTTAAATTAATCATAAACATATATGCATCATTTTAGGTAATTTATTGTAGTTTATAATATTTGTTATGTACTAAATGTAACTTTAGGGCAACTAAATCTGAACCACAAGTAAACAACTTATCCATCAACGCATTAAACAGTAAACAATCCATATTATAGTCCTAATTACATGAAATTTGTCTCAAAATCTCTAAGTTTGCATTTTTATCACAAAGTTTAACCTATAAATAATTGCTACATATAAACTTATAGATTTTTTACCATTTAAACTACCGACATAGTTTATTGTATATCATACTGGAATATAATAAACACATTGTCATTATTGATTGTCAATTAGAAGGAAATTAAAGTAGAATGTTATGTCGCTCTTTAGTTTGTCTGTCGATCCACACATAACATGGTAGAAGAGGACCTGTATGTGCCATCTTTAGCTAAAAGTAGCATTAATCCATGCAGAACTCCATCTACATCTCATAATGAATGTACTTGCCAATGCTAATAAGATAGTATGCTCAATTTGTTTACTTGATATAACATTTTATCAGTCTCAACAAATTTCATTCGGACTCAAGAGCTATATATATATATATATTTTGAGTTCAAGAATTATGGTACTAACTTGAAGCAGATTATATATAATTGATGGTAGGTATATCAGGAACTCATTATAATATATTACCTAGAATCAAAATTTGAGTCATGCATATCAAATAACGTATCAACAACTCAATGTCATTAAAAAGGCTAATTACATAGCATAAATTTTGTATGATGAATCAATGAGATGAAATATTTAATAAAATATTATTCATTTTTAACAAGAATAAATGTATTCATATTCATTAAATAATAGTTGAGTCACATAGCAACACTACAACCCTTGGGACTGGCTCCGCTTGGCTCTTAATTAGATCATAGGCTCATTGCTCTTAAGAACAAGACAACCATTAATCCCATTTACTAACCCCCACTCCAATAATAAAAAAGAAAAGAAAAGTAAATTTTCAATTATATTATTATTAATTTTAGAAGTTTTTCAGAAATTTAAAAGTAAAAAAGTAATGTAAAATAAGGTAAACTGATATGTAAGCATGAGATAAATCCTAATTTGTAAAATTATTAATCATCATTAAGGTAAAAAGGTTAAAAACAAGGTTATTAAATTGAACTGGACTGGCTGATTCAATCGTGAATCGGCCGGCCGGTCAGTTCTATCCATATATGAAACCGGGATAGCAAAGAACCACTCGGACAGGCGGTCGAGCCGGAGCCGATTTTCCAAAACCGCGCTATTTTAATAGAGAGAAATCTAAACCTTTGGTTTTTGATCAAGCAGTCGAGATCACCAAAAAAAAAAAAAAAAACATATTCCAATCCCGTAAGGCCGGGCATTTCGCTTGAATGAAGCTCCTATTCTTTCCTCTCCGCTTGCATCCTCTCTTCATTTGCAGCTCGAGGAGCGGCTACAAGCAGTTCTTCCCTAACACAAGCACTGTTATTCTCCCGTTTCTTCCTCTCCGGCTCGGCATCCCGTCTTCGTAAGATTTTTTTAAACCTAAATTTTATTTATCTTGTTTTTGGTTTTCTTCGTAAGATGTGTTGAATTACATTGACTATTTTTGCTTTAGAAGGATTGCGTTTTGTTCTATTTTG